TTATACCTTTGCCATAATAATACTCTGCTTGTTCTGGGTTTTTTTGAATAGCTTAATCATAATACTTTAATGCTTCTTAAAATCTATTCATATTCTCTAACGCAATCGCTAAACAAAAATTTACATCATTAATTTATACCTTTGCCATAATAATACTCTGCTTGTTCTGGGTTTTTTTGAATAGCTTAATCATAATACTATAATGCTTCTTCAAATCTATTCATATTTTTTAACGCAATCGCTAAACAAAAATATACATCATTAAATTATACCTTTGCCATAATAATACTCTGCTTGTTCTGGGTTTTTTTGAATAGCTTAATCATAATACTTTAATGCTTCTTAAAATCTATTCATATTCTCTAACGCAATCGCTAAACAAAAATTTACATCATTAATTTATACCTTTGCCATAATAATACTCTGCTTGTTCTGGGTTTTTTTGAATAGCTTAATCATAATACTATAATGCTTCTTCAAATCTATTCATATTTTTTAACGCAATCGCTAAACAAAAATATACATCTTTATTTAATACCTTTGCCATTATAATAATCTGCATCTTATGGGGTTTTTTGAATAGCTGAATCATAATACTCTAATGCTTCTTCAAATCTTTTCATTAACCTTAAGATAATCGCTAAAAAAAATATCCATCATTAAATTATACCTTTGTGATTATAATAATCTGCATTATCTGGGTTTTTCTTAATAGCTGAATCAAATTACTCTAATGCTTCTTCAAATCTATTCATTTTCTCTAACGCAATAGCTAAACAAAAATACATCATTATTTTATACCTTTGCCATTAAAATATTCTGCTTTTTCTGGGTTTCTCTGAATAGCTAAATCATAATACTCTAATGCTTCTTCAAATCTATTCATTTTTGCTAGAGCAAATGCTGGAAAATTAAATCCATTTAAAAGTACCTTTGTTATAATAATAATCGGCATTGTCAGGAACTTTATTTATAGCTGAATCAAAATATTGTAATGCTTCTTAATATCTATTCATTGTACATAATGTGATTGCTATAAAAGTATCTATTAGACTGTGTACCTATGGTATAATATTAATCCCAACCTTTAGAGTTATCTTCAGTATATTGTATTAAGCTAAAATCCTTTGAGTTGTAATTTATAAAAGTCGAATAGCGCTATTATATAGTTTTTGCTAATAAGGAGATTTGCTACAACAAAATACCTTTGTTTTTGTTTGTTTAATAGTCAAAATCATCTGGATTTCTCTCTATAGCTTAATCATAATATTCCTATGCTTCTTCAAATCTATTCAATTTTTATAATGTATTTGCTGCATTTTTGTAAAAATTATATATATACCTTTATTAAAATAATAGCTAGAATTTTATGGGTATTTTTCGATAGCTAAATCATAAAATTCTAATGCTTCCTCCAATTTATTCAACTTATCTAAAGTAATTGCTAAGGAGAAAGGATAAGTTGATAAATATACCTTTGTTATTGTAATAATCTGCATCTTCTGGATTTTG